CTCTTACCTGAGCAGTCCTCTCACCAAGTACAGGAACCTCATGCTTGTTGCTGACTTGTTCTTTATCAACTGTGAGAGCCTCCTGCAGGACTCGGAGACCCTGAGGTTCCTCAGGGAGAGCAGGTTTGATGCCCTTCTCACAGACCCGGCACTGCAGTGTGGTGTGATCCTGGCCGAGTACCTGGACCTGCCCTTCCTATACCTCTTCCGGGGCTTCCCGGGAGCCCTGGAGCAGGCTATCAGCAGGAGTCCAAGGCCCTTGTCCTACATTCCCAGGCCCTTTACTCAGTTCTCGGACCAGATGACTTTCTCACAAAGAGTGGCCAACTTCCTTCTTGATTTGGTGGAGACCCCTTTCCTGTACTTTTTCAATGTGAAATTCCAAAACCTTGCCTCAGAACTGCTCAAGAGAGATGTGGACTTGACTACATTATATCAGAAGGGCTCCCTATTGCTCTTAAGATACGACTTTGTGTTTGAGTACCCCAGGCCAGTCATGCCCAACATGGTCTTCATTGGAGGGATCAACTGCAAGAAGGAGGGACATCTAGCTCAGGTGAGTAATTTCATCATTTCTGATGGCCCTGTTTCTAACAAATTGGCAAAGTCATTTAAATGTGCTCTGCCCCTCCTCACCCTACTGGCAACTCCTGCTCCCTGTGTTCTGGGAAGGCTGCCTGAAGAAATGGTGGGCTTCCTTCCAAGAAGGGGAAAGGGTTGTAGGGAGGGCGGTAGTGACGTGAGGCTGAGATGATGGAGAGGAGGTGACTGAAGACAGGGCTGGCGTGTGGTTATCCGGAGAGCGTCTCAGAATCCTAGCATGAGCCACACTTGTTGAGACAGGAGAAGGCTTGACCGTGAAGACAACAGTTGTAAAGACGGTCCACATGGAAACTCATGCTCCCTCTGCCTCAGGCATTATCCTTGGGGCCTAAACTAGGGTCTGATAAGCATAAGCCAGGGGCCAAATCTGACCAGAGTTCTGCTTCTGAGATATGCAAAGCTACGGATGGTTTCAACAGCGTGGATGGGATGAGAAACAACAACGCAACCACTGTACACACTGTGTAACAGAGACTGATGAGGGCGGCTATGCCTCCCATCCTACCCTGTCGAGGAAAAGTTGGCTGAGCCGTGACCTGAACTAGAGGACCCACAGTACTTTGGAAAAAGAAAATCTTTCTCCGGGTATGTGTGGGTGTGTATGGGTAGATACAGGTCTGAAATGCTCGAGGCTACTCTCTATCTTTCTTGCAAGAATCCATTTTTAAAGCATTTTTCAACAGAGAGAAGTACCCCAAATTCCACAAACTTCACCACCACGTTTTGTTTTTTTTTTGAACATCTCTTTTTTTCTAATAACTACTTGCACAATTGCCTGGTGTTAATAAAATATTTTTGTTATGTTAAACAACCACCACCCAATATTGCCCTTGAGGCTCCTCCAACATGTATAGGGACCCTATAAGAGAGAGGACAGGTACCCTTTAGGGTTTCCACGGGTGACGTTTTCATGGACGTGAACTGCCTTCTTTCTCCCTTTGATTGGCTCCTCCCACTGGGCTGTTTGTTAGCACTTTAATCAACTCTGTCACCACTGCTCATTTTTACCAACTCCAGGAAGATTTTGAGAAATTTCTGCTGAAACACTGCTAAACTTTTAGAGGCAGTCACCCCATATCCCCTTGTCACCCTCACCTTTCCCCCCTGCTCCACCCCTTAGTGAGACACCTGCACAGAGGGTTGTTTCAACAAGTTGGCTCCTGGAACTTACCTTGTCATACTGGGCATGATCCCTGCCCAAGGCAAAGATCAGAAGCTACACTTGCTGGAGAAATGTACGGCTGTTATCTCATTCTTACCCTGAATCCTTTATTGGCTCATGACAAAATCATTGGCAGTGAAGTCACATGGCTGGGTGCGTGAAGGAGTACACCCTCTCTTGGGGCAGAGTTTGCACCTGTACTTCTACTGCCGGCTGTATCATACCAGCTCAGAATCACAGCAGGAAGTGGCTCCGGGCAGCACTTATCCATGGCACCTGCAATTTGGACAGGCTTCCTTCCCCTGGCTATATGCCTCCTGCTGACTCCTGGCTTTGCCGCGGCTGGGAAGCTGCTGGTGGTACCCATGGATGGAAGCCACTGGTTCACCATGCGAGCAGTTGTGGAGAAGCTCGTCCACAGAGGGCATGAGCTGGTGATAGTCATGCCGGAGGTGAGCTGGCGCCTGGACGCAGCCTTCAACATCACAGTAAAGACGTATTCGACTTCTTACACGTTGGAGGACCTGGATCGTGAGTTCAAGGTCTACACTGATTCTCAATGGAAAATTCGGCACTCAAATTTATTTTCTCTATTAATGACCCCAAGCAACGGTGTTTTTGAATACTTTTTTTCACATTGTAGGAGTTTGTTCAAGGACAAGAAGTTAGTAGAGTTCATAAAGGAGAGCTCTTTTGATGCCGTGTTTACAGATCCTTTTGATCTCTGTGGCTTAATTATCGCCAAATACTTTTCCCTGCCCTCTGTGATCTTCTCTCGGGGGACGTTTTGTCATCATCTCGAAGAAGCCACTCTGAGCCCCAGTCCTCTTTCTTACGTGCCCAGAGGACTCTTTGGATTCTCAGATACCATGACCTTCCTGGAGAGAGTAAGGAACCAAGTCTACCACTTGGAGGAGCATTTGTTCTGCCCCTATTTTTTCAAAGATGTTTTAGAAATGGCTTCAGAGATTCTCCAAACACCAGTCACGGCCTACGACCTGTACAGCCACACGTCAGTGTGGTTGTTACGCTCTGACTTTGTTTTGGACTATCCCAAACCTGTGATGCCCAACATGATCTTCATCGGAGGCATCAACTGTCACCAGACAAAGCCATTGTCTAAGGTAAGTCACCCCTCCTTCAGCTCATGAAGAAAGCGTGGGCTCAGGGCATAAAAGGGATCTGTTTATAGGTGGAAGTTTGTCATTACATTTGTTACAGTGCTTGCCATTTTATGCTGGTGTAATGAATCCACTTATGCCAATCTCTCAAATTGTGCACTAACAAATCTCTCAATATGTCTCTCTTTAATAAGGAATGTACATTGGAAGGTCAGGCTGCAGTTTTTATTTATTTATTAATTAAAAAATCATTTTATTGGGGGCTCTTACAACTCTTATCACAATCCATACCTCCATCCATTGTGTCAAGCACATTTGTACATTTGTTGCCATCATCATTCTCAAAACATTTGCTTTCTACTTGAGCCTGCAGTTCTTAATAGTGGACCTCTTTATTTGTCCAAACACGCAAATCCAGCTCCTTCTCTGGATTCGTTATACACTATTTTGTACCTTGGTTGTCTCCTACTTGCCTCATCTAGTCCACACGGATTGATCTTAGGCTTCTTCCTCTACTTCCCTTCATGAACAACACTGTACCCAACAACCTTCCATATGTCCTTCACACTCATGTAATTTGAAAATTCATGAATGTTGATCTGTGGGTCTAATGATTGGCGCACCCCCACATCCCTCCTCAATCCTTACCCATGTTTTGATAGTCTAGTGTCCTAGGAGTGGAGTGTGGGCATTAAGTGCCCTACATATATTGCATTTAATAAACTGAAAAACAGCTTTCAAAACTACTGAAAAAAACAGAAGCTTTTTGTTTCAGGTCTCTGATTGCACCTGAGTGATGAATCAAACTTGATCATGAGGTGCATGTACAGGAATATAGTTTATGTAAATAGGGTATAGTGATTCTCGCAGTTTCAAGCATGTGCTGGGGTTTGGGACTGTACTCCCCTCCCGGCCTCCTGCAGCCCCCACAGGGAGGACGATGGAAACAATTTGCAGGAAGATGACAATAGTGAGGATGGACAGGACCAGGCTTTGTTTCATGTGTTGTACACAGGGGCGTGATGAGGTCAGAACTGACTAGACAGCACCTAACAACAACAACAACAACAACTACATTAATTCCTATAATGCGTACTGTAGGGTGGTTATGGGACAATGGAAAAATCTGGGTGAAACTTACTTGACTATATAGGAGCCCGGTGCCCAGATTGGGCAAGATCAGGTGAACTATGGCCTTAGCACAATGCCATCCTCAGCAAAGTTAATGCAGTCCCTGAGTGCTGCATGTTATATAATAACCAGAGTGTGTAGTAGAATCGATCCTGAACGACGCTCCAGGTCCAAGGGGAAAAATCAAGTTCCACAGAAGTGAGAGACTTTGACCCTGTTGGAAAGTCTACTGAGCCTTCTAAGAGGCAGAACAACAGAGAGAACTACAGAGCACATCCCTTTTCAAATAACAGCCTGAGATAAGGGGCCGCCAAGGGCCTCCTCTGGGTTCTAGAGACCATGCGTTCTGCTGGAATCTAATTCCTGTATTGGACAAGACTCTTCCAAAGGCAAGGATTCAAACCCCAATTCAAGTCATCTGCTCCGACAGGACCATTCAGTTTTAGTCTGGAGCCCTATGCTCCGGGAAAGCAAAGTAAGGGATACACATGTATGTGTGGGGGAATTTTCATTAGCAGATGAAGCTATGTACCGAGATGTTAGAAACTAAGAGGAGAGCTTCGTAACCTATGGGACACAAGGTCCTGAATGAAAGAAAACAAAATATACTCACTGCTGTTGAACCAATTCTAACTCATGGAAACCCTGTAGGACAGAATAGAACTGCCCCCTTGGGTTTCCAAGACTTTAAATCATAGGAAGTGTGGAACACCTCATCTTCCTCAGCACCACATGGGGGCTTTGAACCACTGACCTTGTGCTTAGCAGCTCAGTGCAGAGCTCACTCTGCCACCAGGGCTCACAGATATAAGATCACTCACTGCCCTCGAGTTAATTTTGACTCATAGCGACTGTAGAGGACAGAGTAGAACTACCCCTGTGGGTTTCTGAGACTGCCACTCTCTGCGGGAGTAGAAAGCCTCCTCTTCCTCCCCATGGAGCGGCTGGTGGTTTTAAACTATTAGTTCCAAGCGTGGGGTTAGTCACCCAAAGCATAAGCATCAGTGTCACTGGGGCTCAGTACGTTAATATGTCACCATTCATGGTGCTACCTTGTGGGCAGACTGAGGCCTTTCCTGAGGAATCTCCAGGGAGTGCCTTCTCAGAGGTCGATCGCCCGGCTAGCCTCCGGAGCAACTTCTCAGTAGTTTCAAAGCATCAACAGTTTGGTTCGTGGAGGGCTTCACTGTTGACACCAAAGCTTCTCATGATGTCAAAGCTTTGGGGATGTCTTGAAAACTGTGGCCACATTAAGGTTTCCAAATACAGAACAAACCAAAGTGAACACAAAATCAAATGGGCAATGAACTTGAGGTGTTTCTGGTCGTGCTTGGCCGTGTTGCAAATATCTAGAATGAACAGGGGTGGAGAGTGGAAAGTTTAAGAAGCCTTCGTTAACCCCACCCAGGGACTGCATGCACCTGCCAGCCACACCTAATATACTCTTGTCAGGGATGGCACATGGCATCAAGTCAGTGCTGTCCAACAGAATGAATCGGAAGGTGCTCTCTAATTGGTTCTGACCCATAGCGACCCTGTGCACAGCAGAACGAAACATTGCCCAGTCCTGTGCCATCCACCTCGACAAGCCCAGGCAAGGCAGTCTTATAAAGCACGGTGCTGGGCAGAATCCAGTTCTCGCGTGCCATCATGAAGGGCGTGGCCTGCAGCTTCCCGAAAGGCTCAGAGGTCAGTGCCACGCACTGCTTCATAGTGGCTGGGTTGGGAGGAGTCCAGGGGTATGTAGACCCATTTTATAGCTCTGTGTGCCTTCTGGATTCGATCCTTCATTGTAAGGCCACATAGCCCTGAAACCACAGTGAGAGAGGAGGAACCTATGAGGAGAGTAACAGAGTACAACTCAGGGCCAGGGTCAGAAACCACACAGGAAAACACTGAATGATTCCTTCAAAGAGGAGAGCTTATTCCTCTCTTCTGTGGGGCTGGATAGCTCTCTCGTCTCCTCTCAGCCATGAGAGCCGAAGACCCCTCTTGCTCCTGTGCAGGCCCCTCTGGACCAGGCAGGCCTCCCGCTAGTTGCTTGGGGAGAGGCCTTTTCTGGAACCCTCAGGACAGGCTTTCCCAGCCCTTTTGGGACAGCCTTCTTTCAGCCCCCGTGCCTCCTCTCTGCACACAGGGTACCACTTGCCTCTGCACCTGCTGGAGCACTGCTTTCACCCTGCCTCTGGAGTGCACAGCAGTGGTGCAAGCCCACCAGCGACTTCGTGGGAGGAAGGTTCTTTGTCCTGTAGGCTAGTATGTCAGAGTCGCCTGGATGGTAGTGAACGGGCTTAGGGTGCTGCCATGGTCTGGATTCCAACCAGCATGCTGCCACCTGCCTTCTCTTATCGTCGTGAACAGGGCACTATTGGAGGTCCCCAAGGAGGGAGTCCCAGGAACCTGTGGCCAGCTGGTGGCCTGCCATCTTCCCAGGCCCTGCCCGTGTCTTGCATAATGCCTTATGTTCTGGCTGCATTCCTGGGGAGTGGCCACTAGATTCTTGTTTCTGAAGAACTTCTCCTGTCCTGGCCCTATGCCTCCTATGAGGCCAGGTCAGGACAAGGCCTCGCGTGCCAGTTCGGCTCTGCGTGACAAGCTTTCGAGAGTGTGTGCCAGAATATTCTAGGAAGCACCTTTCACTTAGAAAACTTGCTGCTCATATCCGCCCACCTCTGGGTCTGCCCACAGCCAGGTCACGAACAGGTAGGAAACAGGTCTCCTTGCCACCCTGCTCTGTTACCTGTGACTCTCCCGGCCTTTGTCATTTCCACACTTTCTCCTCTCTTGTTTCTTCACCCTCCTCATCTGTCCCTGTGTACAAGTCCCTCCCCCCCTTCAGTCTTTCTCCCCACTTCTCCCTGTTTTCTTCTCCCTGCCCACACCCCATCCCTTGCCTCTTGCCCCCTCTCCCTCTCTCCTTACTGCCCTTCCCCTCTCCTCTCCTTCAGTGCTCCCTCCGTGGCCCCGGCCTCTAGCCCAGGCCTTCGCTCCTGCCCTGTTCTTCTTTTCTCCCTTTGTCTCCTTTTCCCCCTCCCCCCTCCCCTCCTCTCCTCTCCCCTGATTTCCTGCAGGCCCGGGCTGGCTCTTTGAATCTGTTTCCAGAAACTTCTTTCTGACCACCAAAGGGCCCCTCACTTCATACCACCTCGAAGCTGAGCTGCCTACCACAGCACGGAGAACCACTTTGAGGCTCCCTGGGGATGACCTCAGCCAATCCTCCCAGCCCCTCCTGACCCCTGAGAATCTGCACAGACACACAGTGAGGGCAGAGCATTCTGAGTGCAGAACACATTCTGTTAACTGCTCACAAAGCAGAAATGGTGTCACAACGAGCTTGTGCTCGGAGGCTAAACTCATGGTTTGTGCGTAGAAGCCACTCAGTGCGAGTGACCGTGGACTTGATTGAGACCCCTGAGGACTCTCCGTGGGCACAGGAGCTGCTCCACAGGGGTTTCAATCAGTGGGGGGATTTGGCTGGTTCTCACGGGTTGGGCAGGACTAACCCCGGCGTTTTTGTTGAGTTCGGGGAATGGGTTTTAAAATGCACTTGTCATAAGAGTTCTCCCTGAGGCTGCTCGCCTGCCCAGTGTGGAAATCACACATGCATCTTCCGTACTCTGTTTTAAAGTTCATCTGTGCGCCTCTCTTACGTATAACACAACCTCGGTTTGTGTGCTTCTTCTCTTGTTCTAATTTAAGTATTAACTGGAAGTCATGGTGGCGTAGTGGTTACTCATTGGCTGCAATCTTCATGGTCGGACTTTCTAAACTACAAGAGAAAGACTGGCTTTCTACTTCCATAAGCAGTTATGTGGGGGGAACCAGCCCCTCACAACTATATTGTGAGTCTGATAGTGCGGTTGTATGGTTATGATATATAAAGATTATAGTAAAGTCATAGAGAATAAGAGAGATAGAAGAGAAGGTGAAATAACGGCGTCAGACAAATTTCATGGTAGCACGAAAGGCCATGATCTCCCCAGCCAGGTCTGCACATAGTGCAGGCAGAGAGGGCAGGAGAGCAGGAGAGATAGGGGTTTATTTCTAACCAAGGTTTATATATCTTTTGGGCGTGTGCAAGCCCCCTGATTACAGGTAAAGTCATACGTCAGAGGAAGGGGTTGTACTATATGTAATATAGTAATGGGAGGGGGGCGGTCTAGGGTTATATATGCTACAGGAAGAAGAGGGATTAAGGGTACACATGTGGCAAGATGGACGGATCCTAGATTCAGGATGGCAGCCTAACCTTGGATGTCACTGAGCAGGTTTGACCTGTTCTAAGCTCTCCAGGGAAACAATCACTATCCTATCCATAGGGTATGAGTCCCACCTACAGTTGACCAGACAGTAGTCTGATTGCTCTGGATGGCTGAATGCCTTCAGGGAGATAACTTGACAATCATTTACCATTCGTCACAAGCAGTGTCCTAGTTCTGACATGTATTTGGGGGAGACCATCTGGGAACAGCCTTTGTATATCTCACACAGTTAAAGTGTCAGAAACCCTTCCAGAGTCCCCTATGAGTCAGCAATGACTCCATGGCAGTGAGTTTAGATTGGGGTTTGAGATGAAATAATAAGCTATCTTCTTTCAGTATATCTTTTGTTCCACACTTAAAACGGCAGCAAACTGGTTGTGAAATTATTTGAATCCAACTATTGGGTTCAAGGCTGTGAGCTTTCAGATCTCTTAAGTTCGTCTTCCCAGAAGCCTCTGGATGGGTCTGAACTGTGATCCCTCCACCTAGTAGCTGAACGCTTGACCATTTACACCACTCAGGATGCCTTTCATAAAGACAAAAGCCAAGCCAATCCAGTGGAGCTCAGTTCTACCAGGGGGTCTCCAAGGGTGGGCATTGACTTGATGGTAACTCACCACAACCTCGGGCATACAAGAATATATCAGAAAGCATTGCTGCTATGGGTCCAGTTCATATGTACACGGCCCCCCGGCCCCCAACAATTGTATTGGCAAATTGTTCACCCATCGTATAATTCCGTAGTTCAATCGCTTCAGGAAGAGTTGTGAAAGCATCACCACAATCAGCTTCACATTATTTTCCACATTCTTGCGCTCATCCTTATTAGTGCTCATTGCCCCCAACCTCCCTACCAGACCCCAAGGAACCACGAATGCCGTTCCTGTCTGTGGCTATAGATTCACCGTTCCCATATTTCATATACAGAGAAACATGGACAGGCAAATGAGCAAAGAAAAACTAACAAGAATGACAGAGTAAAGCCGATTTGAAACCTTAATGGAAAAGAAAGCTGAAAACATTAAAACCTAGAACAAATCTAAATGGACCATAAGGGAGACCACAAGCATGGGTGGAACCCTCACAAACTATGTCGAAACATGTTTCTAGGATCAGTGGATGGTGGCCCACAAATCCTCTCAGTGATGAGCTTTTGTTTGTCTTGTTAGGGTGCCTTCTGAAAAAGCTCCCCTCCCAACTGTGGCTTCCAGGATCTGATGGGTCAGTTAAATTCAAAGCACAGAGGTCAGCTCAGAGGTGAAAGAAACTGGCTTTTGCTTTGATTTTTTTCATCGTGGGTCATGTTGGTAGATAGTCTGGAAGGCCCGGGATGATCATGCGAGCTTATTAGGAACAAGCTCCGAGAAAATGGAAAACTGCATTGAGGAGAAAAAGGCCAGGAACATTACACCAAGGATTTTTTTTTCTATCATGACAGTGCATTTGCTCATTCTTTGAGGATAACAAGGGCTACCCCATGAGAAGTTCATTTGGAAACTTTACCCACAAGTCTGGTCTTCCCCTTTCATTCTTCCTTCAGTCACCCTACCCCCACCCCCAACCGAAAAAAAGAAAAGAAAACTGTGGGGAACCAGCCCCCCACAACCAAATGGGTCTAAGGGCCGGTTGTGTAATTGAGGGACAAATTAAGGAGACCTCAGAGAAGATAAAGCATGCAAGGGCTCACCTTCTTCCAAGATGACCAGAACCAGAATGAGACAGTACGCTATCGACTCACAGGCTTACATCATCTCAGGCAAGCAAGGCAAGGTAAGCACATATGTCACAGGTAGGGGTTGTACATGACAGGGATGAGGTAGTACAACAAGAGGGGTACACGCGAGGGGTAAACACGCAATAGGAAGGGGAGGCACAGAGGCATACATGTGACAGGAAGGCACATCCCTAGCAAGATAGGCAAGGCTCTAGAGTCAAGATAGCAGCCTAACCTTGATCATCTCTGAGCTGCCTTGACCTTAGGTGTCTTTGAGCTCTTCTCCAGGGGAACAATCTATGCTCCTTATCAGTCGGGAGTGGGTCCTACTTGGCATGGGACAGACAATAGGGTCTGATTGTTTTTGATGGCAGACAACCTTAGGCAGATAGCCTTCAAGCAGCTGACCTTCCAGAGTAGAGTTAGTGACCATATGTTTGCAAATAGCACCTTCAATTTGGCATCACTCTGCGGGGGGGGGCATTAAAGGGAATGAAATTTACTTAGGAGAATGTGAGTGGGACACATCTCCAACTTACATCATGAAGGTTCCCTCCGCAGGAGCCCTGGCCTTCCAGACTCCTTAAAGTATGAACGTTGAGAGTATGTCCGCACACACTCCATCCGGTTTTCCATTTCCTACAGAAAATATTGAAAAGGAACATGATTCAAATACTCTGAGGATGCCCAAACTGTAGTTTTGGTGTGGTTTCAATCTAGGAGCTCAAAATTCTTCAGGCAACAGTTAGAGGGAAAGAAATACTGTCCTCAGCAGTGCAGTGACCTAGATGGATGGTATGTTGATAAAAAGTCATGTCACATTTTATTTAATAAAAGCTTCTTTGATTTTCTAGCAATCCTTTTTGACTTGCCCCGATACATTGAGGATCAGGTTTCCTACTGACTGCGATGGCTCATGACAGACACGTGGGGTAGGGAGCGCTTTCCACTCTTCAGCCCACCTTCCATCCCACCTTCTCTGTGAAGTGGCCGGCTCCTTTGTGTAGACTTGCACTTGTTAGGACAAGTCTTTCTCTCTGAGAAAAGTAGGCAAGAAAGTCAACCCGCATTAATAGCTGTTCACATGTGGGTGCCTGATGACCAGAGCAGGTCATGGTGAAAGGCAGCAGCAGGCCAGTGGAACCATTCCTGACGTGTGGACGCATCAATTGTCAACCTCTTTGGAGAAGAGGACAGACAGTTGTCTAAGAGAAATATAAAGTCAGAAGTTCATTGGCCCACATGTCTATGTGTTTAAAAACAGTTAAATATTAGCTTAGGTGTCTTTCATAATTAAAGGGCAAAATTCAGGGCACAGAGAGGGAGGCCAGGTGTGGGAAGAGGGCTGGTTCCTTTATGGAGAGCGCTAGGAAGTCTGGGCCTTCCCAGTGTAGAGAATTCATCATCACCGTTTTCATTTAACTCCCTCCAGCATGTCGGGCCTTCTCCAAGCTTCTCAGAGGGCCTCTGTGGGACTCTACTTGCTAGCGCTGTGGGGGGTGGTTGGAGGGGAGAAGCTGCTGGTTGTCCCTGTGGATGGAAGCCACTGGCTCAGCATGAAGGTGATCGTGGAGCTGCTCAGTGAGAGGGGCCATGACATCGTGGTGTTGGTGCCAGAGGTCAGTTTGCTTCTGGGGGAGTCGCGATACTACAGCAGAAGGACCTATCCAGTGCCCTACACCCAGGAAGAGCTGAATGACCAATTCCGCTCTTTCGGAAGAAGCCACTTTGCTGAGAGCTCTTACCTGAGCAGTCCTCTGACCAAGTACAGGAACATCAAGATTGTTACTGACATGTACTTCACCATCTGTGAGAGTCTCCTGAAGCACTCGGAGACCCTGCGGTTCCTCAGGAAGAGTAAGTTTGATGCCCTTTTCACAGACCCGGCCATTCCCTGTGGTGTGATCCTGAGTGACTACTTGGGCCTGCCCTCCGTGTACCTCTTCCGGGGCTTCCCGGCTGGTCTGGAGCAGGCTATCAGCAGTAGTCCAAGGCCCCTGTCCTACATTCCCAGGCCCTTTACTCAGTTCTCGGACCAGATGACTTTCTCACAAAGAGTGACCAACTTCTTTGCTACTTTGCTGGCGACTGCTCTCCTGTACCTGTACAACTTGCGATTCCAAAACCTTGCCTCAGAGTTCCTCAAGAGAGATGTGGACCTGGCGACATTATGTCAGAAGGGCTCCCTATTGCTCTTAAGATACGACTTTGTATTTGAGTACCCCAGGCCAGTCATGCCCAACATGGTCTTCATTGGAGGGATCAACTGCAAGAAGGGGGGACTGCTAGCTCAGGTAGGTGATTTTATCATTTCTGACGGACCCATTTGTAACACATTGACAAAAACCATTCGAATATAGTCTGCCCCAACTCACCCTACTGGCAACTCCTGCTCCCTATGTTCTGGGAAGGCTGCCTGAAGAAATGGTGGCCTTCCTTCCACGAAGGGGAAAGGGTTGTAGGGAGGGCGGTAGTGACATGAGGCTGAGATGATGCAGAGGAGGTGACTGAAGACAGGGCTGGCGTGTGGTTATCCGGAGAGCATCTCAGATTCCTAGCATGAGCCACACTTGTTGAGACAGGAGAAGGCTTGGCCTTGAGGACAATGGCTGGAACGACGGTCCATATGGAAATCTATTCTCCCTCTGTCTGAGGCATTATTCTTGGACCGTAAGCCAGGGTTTGGTAATTAGAACCCAGGGCCAAATCTAGCCAGAGTTCTGCTTTTGAGCTATGCCAAGCTGGCAATGGTTTAAACATCGTGGACAGATGGAAACAACAACACAACCACTGTGCATAATGTATACCGGAGGCCTACGTGGGCTGCAATGCCTCCCATCTGACCCTCTAAACTATGAAAAATTTTCTGAGCCCTGACCTGACCTAGAGTACCACTGTATTTTGGAAAAAGAAAATCTTTCTCTGTGTGTATATATGAGTATATACAGGTCTGAAAGGCTCTAGACCACTCGCTATCTTTCTTGCAAGAATTCATTTTTTAAAAGGCATTTTATTGGGGGCTCGTATAATTCTTATCACAATCCATCCATCCATCCCTCCATTGTGTCAAGCACA